TATATATTACTTATTTATCTTATTTATTATCTATTTCCCAACCCCATCAGAAAGTAATTTCCATGTAGTCAGGAATTCTCATCTGTTGTTATTCTTGCTTTTTTTCCCTGCTGCTGTATAGTTAGCACCTACTATCTGACAATTTGTATACATTAATAAATATTTCTTGAAACTGAGTTGTATTTGAATCATACTCACGCTCTATATAGTAGACTAAAACACAGATGATCCTATGATCCAGAACCCAAAACACATACCAATTTCAATCCAATTCTACTCTAAGCAAGATTTAGTAGAATAAACCCAAGTCACAGAGTATGAACAGCAACACACAAAAATTTCAGTAACTATGATATAAGAGTTTGAGAGCACTCTGTTTTTAAGTTAGTTTCTTTTTTTCTTTTCTTTTTTTTTTTTGCATTTATCATCAGATAACAGGAGGGAGAGGAGTTAGACAGAAATAGAGAAACATCACCAGTGTGAGAGAGACACATCGACTGGTCACCACCCACAGGGCCCCAACCAGGCAGGGACAAACTGTAACCAAGGCACATGCCCCCAGAGAGAACTGAACCCAAGACTCTCCGGTCCGCAGACCGACACTCTAACCGCTGAGCCAAACCGGCCAGGACAAGTTAGTTTCTTTAATATATAAATCAGGATATCACCTTTCTTCATAGTCATAGTAAGGGTTACTGTAGGACTATAGTAATTTAGTATTCTTTGTAATATAGTAATCTTTGAAAAGAAATAAATGCAATGTTTACACATAAATGAAGGTGATGAAGATGCAAGAGGATTGTACACTAACTTCAGCCATAAAAAGATTAATCAATTCATAGACAAAGTAATTCTTCATTTAATATTAAATGTGTTATTTAATTTTAAGTAAACTAACATATATTAAGACCTCACAACTTATTCTTGTTTACCAGTCAACAAGTCAAATTCAATCACAACTTAATGTTAAAAAAAAAAAGAAAGAAACATTTGTATTTTTTACCAGCCCCACAGAACTCTAATATCATCAGGAAGGTAAAACAAAGTTGCATAAATATGAAGTCATTATAGACTGCAGATGTTCAAGGCAGCAAGATGAACTAAGAAGGTGGTATGCTGCCATGGTACACCAACAGTCCTTTATATCCAAATGAGGCTGAGGCAGAAATACAAGGTCAAAAAAGTTAGATTCTAAAAAATCCTTTTTTACTTAAAGAATGTTAGATTAAAACTAATATAAAAATTAAGATATCATAAAATCAATTTATCTGCAGCTAAAACCAGATTCCTTTCATTAGGATAAAAATGACTTTTTGCCTAGTTACAATAATTCCATAAGTAAAGCAACATATTTCACATGCTCTTATTTAAGAAACTGCCCTCTTACCTGAAATTATCAGGGTATAAATGTATATCTGCAAACTTCAGAGGGATTTTTTTCCTATAGTTTATAAATCTTGTTTGGAGCAGGCAAATTTCAATGTTGATTTCACATTATGTTTTTTCATGCCAAAGTTGTCTTTGGTGGATAAACCTGCAGACTAAAAAAAAGAGAACATCAATGATGATAACTATCCTAGACCAGAAGAAAGGGATAAAAAAACATACAAGGGGGAAAAAAAAATCAAGAGAGTCCAAGTTAAAAAAGAATAAAAACAGTTTCAAGATAAGGCCAAGCAAAAACAAACAGAAGAATGACAAAGATCACCATCTTTTCTATTACCTAACATATAAATGGAGGCACATCAAACAAGATAGAACCAACCAGCACCAACACTCCCAAGCTAAATATAGCATATGACATAAAAGAAATAGAAAAGAAGGCCCCTGTTCTTAACAATACTCTAAATCAAGAGAGAGACCTAAAGCATATGAGTCATTAGTGGATCAAATGCTAAACTAGGATAATGAGTATAAGTGCAATAGGAATTCAGAGAAGAAAAGTGTGGTGTGAAGTAATTAAAAGCTACCAGACAGAAAAGACAGGATTTAAGAATGGAGAGAAGAAGGAAAATTAGTCCAGTCAGAGGCAACTGTATTAGTAAAGTTAGAGAGATAGAAATGAATGTGGCATGTGTAGGAAACAGTGAGAAAACCAGACTGAATGGAACAGAAGGGACTTGATGAAAAATAGAAGAAAATTAGGCTGGGTAGGTAAAGTAGAGCACCAGATTACAGAGATCTTCAAAGTGAGACAGACAAGTTTAGACTTAAACATAGCAGCAAACACAGAGATGTTAAATGCTTCTAAATAGGTTATTTTTCAAGACCACTAGAGACAAACTCCATTCTTCTCTTGGTAACCAATTCTAACATTCAATACCCTTTCATATCCCTATATGTCTCCATACATAGCTACAATGACTCATGTAATTATAATTACTCTTGCTTCAGCGGAATCCTCTATTCTTCTCTTCCTATTCCTTCTTCATTGATTTGGCATTTAGCATAATATGCTAGCACTGAGGCCCTCTCTTCACCTAAAATAAGCAAATACATCTTATAAATATCACATATATAGAGATATATAGAGATCATGTACATATGTATGTTTCAGAGGTTTAAGTAATTTTTAAAAAGACAAAAAAATAAATAAATTCTGCCACTGTCTAGCCCTGAAAACATCTTTCTCTTTTGGGGAGGTGAGGTGGAGAAGGGAGAGGCTCATTCACTCATTTTTTCAAACAAAGTACTACTGAGCACTAACCACCTCCTAGGCACCATCAAACTCACTTCCTTTCAGAGTACAAACCTACTATCCAAAATGATTCCAGGTAACCCCATACTCCTCTAATTTGGGATATTTACCTCTATTCTGAGCATTCCCAACACTTTAAAGAAAAATCTAGCTCTCTTACAAGTGTCTGATCTTCTTCCTCAACCCCGTACACTTTCCCCTTATACCTCTCCTACTTTTTTCTCCAAAAATCTCAACTGAGTTTTTAAAATAAGAGCATTCATTCTGCACATTTTCACTCAATAAAAGTTTTCTACTACCAACCTAAAAGATTTTAACTCAACATACCAAGCATAAAAAGCAGTAACAACTGCATTTTTAAAAAGAAAGTGACAACCATGCCAAATAGATAATGATATACATCAAAACTAATACAGGTAGATGGGATAATATATCCTACATACCTCACCTAAAGCTATGGAACATTAAGCTATATTCAGTTGTGCAGATACAAAGATTCCACAAAGCAAAAATAATAACAATAACTATAAATAACAGTGACAATGAAAGTTAATTACAGAAAAGCAAAAAATGATACCTTTAAATCTAATAAGAAAAGTCTAAAAGTATTTTATGATGACCTTTCTTTTGAAAGGAATTGGTAAAAACAATCATTAAGTAAAAGTAGACTCCAATCACTTATTATTGAGCATTCTAGCCACTTACCTTTTACCTATTATCACTAATTCTATCTTCTTCTTGAACTGAATTTCAGATTGTTCCTTAACCGTTATCCATCTAAATTAGTAAAATACAAGAAAAAAGGATCACATACATAACCCAAAACCTACTGAACTTTTTAATACATCGGATTCAAGATCAATTTTCATAAATAACTTAAAACATAAGAAATAATTATGTCCAATTTTTCATCTCTTTTCTTCCCAAAGAGATACTAATTTTAATCTCCAAATTTCAAAATTAGTCTAAACCGTGTTCCCACAGCCTCGGGAGATAAAAGGAATTTCCATAAACAATCTGTTCTGAAAAAATACTCCATGAACACAAAATACACTAACTTCAATATAAAAAACTGAGCCAAAAGAGAATAGTGCCTATTTCTACACTACTTTGTTTTGAATCTAGGACAATTAAGGGCATTTATTTATACCAAATTTGAAGCCTAACTACACTAAGGTGAACCTTGTCCTAAGCCATGTAAAGAATTATAATATTTAAAATGTTGCCCAGATCAAGCAACTAGATTAATATGTAATGTAATGAAAATAGAGAAAGTTTTTAAGATTAAAAATCCATCTAAATAGCCATCTAAAATATTGATAACACTCTACATGACTACAAACTCTATGGCATCCCTGGAATAAACTGTCAAACAAAATTAATCTAGAATATTTCATGGAGAGAATGGGGTGGGGTTTTGAAAAACTGAATAAAGTTAAAAAAAATGCTACTTGAGAACTTGGAAATGAACAAAATTTGGATGAAGTAGGTGGAGCTGAACAAGAAACAGAGTGAGTTAACTGGACTAAAAGGCGTTCAACGCTCAAGGACCAGTGATTCTTCTGCAGCAAAACAATGGGTTTTGAACCTACGTCCAATAATCGAATACGTCACATAGACCAACATTTCTGTCTCTGAGAGACTGTTCGTTTCCCTTCTTTGCACTCCGAAGGCAAGATGCACCTAAGCTTTTCTCTGCCTAGAACCTGAAACTGTATTTACCAGGCCCCGCTCCACACCCCACGCGAGTACAATCAAGTCTAACTGAATCGGCAAAGCGGGCATAAGATGAGGCGGATGTATTCGAGAGGCCCCACGGTGTCCATATCGCACCTGTGGCAGTCCAGCCAGAGGCCTCACAGAGAACCACCGGTCCAACTTAAGTGACAGACGCACCGCCACCTCACCACCGCCCAGCTCACGGTCCCGCCTACTACTCAGCCACGCTTGTACAGTGAAAACGAGCACCCACAGCCCCTGACCCTTTCTCTTCCTAGGTTTTCATTCCAAATATTTCAACCACCTACCAGTTCCAACCACTGCAAAAGCGACGGCGACCCGAACCCACCTGGGACAGGTGCTTTCCTGCAACCAAGGCGAAAGTCGGAGCGCATGCGCATTTCCCAGGCATTGCTCACGTGACTGGGAGTGACTGGCCCTCAGTTTGCTCGGTATTTGATTAAAAGGCCTTAACGTGGGTTAAGGCAGGGCAGTCTGACGCTGCGCAGGTACTCCTCCCCCCCCCCCCCACCACCCCACCCGCCCTGATGGGAGTTGTAGTTCTGTGGATGAAGCGCTGGGAGGACGCAAGCGGCGATCTCCGCGAACCCCCCCATCTCAGATCGCGGGGAGGAGGCATGTCCAGCGCCTCCAGGCGGGCTCTCGGCTGCTCCCTGCGATGCTGCTGCTGTGCGTGTCTGTGGTCGCGGCCTCCGCGCTGGCAGCGCCAGCTCCCGGCACTAGTGGGAAGAGGCCCGGAGCAGCTCAGATGCCTAACGTGGTGCTGGTTGCGAGCGACTCCTTTGTAAGTACCGAGAGGAGGCGGCGGCGGCGGCGGGGTAGGTGGGCGGGCCCCCGGTCCAGATCCGCTACCCGCCCACAGCCTTTCTTGTGCCGTAGGCGTTAGGGAACGGAATCTGAAACTTGCGAAATTGTTTAAACCCGTTGCAAAGTAAAAAGTGTATTTATCTTGAAGCCCCATATACACACGTATACCACATAGTTATGCATATAATACATATAAAACAGTACTTTCGTAAATAAAGTGCGATCTGATAGCTTCTTTGCAAATATTTTTATTTTATTGCTAGCCTCGATCCACTAAATTATTTTTTCCACTATTAAGGAACGGTCATTCTATATCCCGTTTGATTTAATAGTGGGGGAAACTAACATTCTGCATCTCCATAAAAGCTTGTTCGTTTTCTAGCGGTCATTTTCCAGTTCACCTGAAGTTTGCCGGAATTTGTGTTTGGGTGAGAAGTGAAAAATGTTAACGTTATTTTTATTACCCAGGTATCTGATAGTCCAGTTAGTGCCGATTTAACTGCATTAGTTTACATAATTTGACCCACTTCCTTATATTCCAGGGAACTTGAGTGTATGCGTTTTGTTGTTGAATCCTAAACTTGAACAGCTCTTGGAACTTTCCCCTAGACATCAACCAAAAGACTACTACTATCAATAGTACCTGATACTTTTAGTATTACCCATAATTTTAAAACTAATGCTTGGACAAATGTTTGGTTACAAATCATAACATTAGTTCATTATCCCTGGGAGTTAGTGTGGTCACACAGACAGTTGGTGTTAAGCATGTCTGGCACCAGAGTGCTTTAAATCACTATGTGGTATTGCCTTGCTCATAAATTAAGCCATGATGATTCAAGGTACATAATCTGGATATGCCTGAATGATTTGTTGAGACTATTACTTAAAATAATTTTTTCAATGATCTAAACCTACAGAACAGGCAGTACTGGAGGATAACATGAAAGAGTTTATCAGGGAGTGCTCTTGAGAGCAAAGGGAAAGGAAGAAAGCAGAATTGTGCAGAGAGAGAAGTTGAGTTTTGTTGCTGTTATCAATGGAGGCCTCAGCTGACCGTATGGGTAGTTCTCAAACTAATATGATGCTTCAGAACTGATGAGGTGCCAGGCCTGTGTACCCTCATGTTGGATGGCCATTAGTTATGGGCTGCTCCCAGAATGGGGCATGATCATGGGCAAGACAACTCTCTTCAGCAGGGGCAATTTTTCATTTCTAAAAGGGAATATGGATGGTGCATCACAAATCCTAAAAACTTCCAAAGATAACTGAAATATTTGGTTTGTTATTTTTTTTAGTATAGTATGAATACGTAGCTTTTTATATATTTGTGTATAGAAATACATAATATTGTATACAGACTAATATATCTTATGAATATAAAAGCAAAGATCCTGAACAAAATACTAGAAAATCAATTCAGCAATATATGACTAAGTGGGATTTATCCCTAAAATGTAAGGTGGGTTTAATATCTGAAAATCATTTAATGTAATACATCATTTTAATCAAATTAAGGGCAAAAAATGACATGATCATCTCAATAGATACAGAAAGAGCATATTACAAAATTCAATAATGCTTCATGATAAAAGCATTCAGCCAATTGGAAATAGAAGAGAATTTCCTCAATCTGATAAAGGGTATCTGCAAAAAAGCCACAGCTAATATTATACACAACTGTAGAAAAATGAATGTTTTCTCCCAAAGATCAGGAACAAGACAAGGAAATCTGTTCTCATTGTCTTTTCAACATCCTACTGGAGGTTCTAGCCGGGGAATTAGACAAGAAAATGAAATAAAAGGCAAAAGATCTGAATAGACATTTCTCCAAAGAAGATATACAAATGGCCAATAAGCACATGATAAGATATTCAACACTGTCAATCCTTAAGGAAATGTGAATGAAAACCACAATGAGACACCAATTCACACACAGAACAGCTACAGTAAAAAAGACACTATAATTAGTTGTCAAAGATACAGGGGAACTGGAACCCTCATCACTACTGGTAGGAATGTACAGTGGTGCAGCCACTTTGCAAAACAGTTGAGCAATTCCTGAAATGGTTAAACATGAATTATCATATGACCCAGCAATTCTACTTCTAGGTGTATATCCAAAAGAAATGGAAACATATGTCCATATAAAAACTTGTACGTGAAACTATATATAATACTGCCAAGTAGTGGAAACAACCCAAATATCCAGTAATATTATTCAACAATAAAAAAGTAAATGTGGTACTGACACATGCTGCGATGTGATGAACCTGAGTCATTAAGCTAAGTGAAAGAAGCTAGTCACAAAGGATCACATATTGTATGATTCCGTTTACAAGAAAAGTCCAGAGAAAGCAAATCTGTAGAGACACAAAGTAGAGACAAAAGATTAGCAATTGCCTAGGGTTTAGGAGGATAGAAGAGTGAAGGTTAAGGAGTGCAGGGTTTCTTTTTGGAATGGTGGATGTCCTAAAATTGACTGTGGTGGTTGTTGTATAACTCTTAGAATATACTAAAAACCATTGACTTGTACACATTAAATAGGTTAATTGTATGGTATGTGAATTATATCTTCATAAACTTGTTTAAAAAAAAATAAAATAAGAACCTGCCCAGGTCTTCAAGGACATAAGCATTTCTCTTTCTCTCTCTCTCTCTCTCTCTCTCTCTCTCTCTCTCTCTGTTTCTTTCTCTCTCTCTGTCCTCCCACCCCTACCTTCATTCATTTTCATTTTGGTGAGGTTTCAGGAGTGGAAGACAGGACAGGAATACCACAGAATCTAGTGAGAATCTCATTCAATCTGATGGACTCATCTTCGAATAACACTATATAAACAGTCTTGCTTTGATAACAGGTCAGACAGTTCAAGTTACTGTTACATTCTATCATTAGAATGATGCCTTGAAATCTAAACTTCACTGGTTTTCCCTGGCCCAGGATGATGAAGAACTGAGTACCAAGTCATGATTCTAGAAGGAGAAATCCAAATCACAAATCCTGCAGGCTCTGTTCAAACTGGTGTAACTACTACTACAAGTGGCTACTGCAGCATATCAGTAACTCATGTATGAGATTAAAATCCATGTTAGCAATTTCTGGATTAATTTCTGACTGGTACAGGACTTCATCTCTTGAAAGCAGAAAGAAAAAGCTGGAGTCTTTAAAATGCAGAGTGGCAGGGATGGAAACAGAGGAGGGAATAACCACCTCATTTGGAGAAGTTTCTAACATGGAATGTGAGAGGTGGTCTATGTCACGATTACTGACTAAGATATTTAAGGCACTCAATAAATATTTAATGAATGAAGTTGATGCCATTGTAATTAGCTAGTTATTAGTAACAGGAAAGGAGAGCCCGTCCAAGTCCATTGGGCGTCTTCCCATGGATTTAGATGTCCTGGTTTAATTCCTGGCCAGGACACATGCCCCGGTTGTTGGCTCAATCCCCAATAGGGGATATGCAGGAGGCAGCTGATCGATATTTCCATCTCACTCTCCCTTCCTCTCTCTCTTAAAAATTCCAAAAAAACATATTTTAAAATAAATACTAGGAAAGGAGCAAAAGGGAGGCCAGACATTATAAACATAGCCATCTGGGCAGCTTCACCCGGAAGCTGCAACTTCACACTTCTCAGGGGACTGCCGGTCCATTCCCTGCCAACCACTGGGGGAAAGGACCAGACAAAGTGGGAAATGGTTGCACGCACAGTGAAGTTAGGGTGACGTAGGGAAGGTACTTGCCTGTCAGTCTAGCCTGGGGAACCATCAACTGGCTAAGGGGTGTAGAAGCAATGCAAGCCTGCCAAAATTTGGGAATACATAATCCCAAAACAAAGTAATTCTCCCTCTCTTGGTTCTTGGTTCTCTGGTTCCTTTGGTTTTGTTCCTGCTCCCTTGCATTCACCTGTAGCCCCTCCATAGCCATGTGGCTCTGCAGACCCCACACACAATGGACTAATGGACTGCAGCTAGAAACACAAACTAAACTAGCCTGATGCTGGATTGGGCTGTGTAAATATTGGGACAGAAACTGTGGGCAAAGGCTTTAATCCTATCCCTGCTGAGGGCACCGTTAGACTTCTTTCTTGGTAGGATGAAGGGAAATGGGACTTTGGAAACTCAGGAGTGTAATTCCACAGAAATAAAACTTTCTACAATATCTCATCCTCTTGTATGAGTCTCAGAAAATTCCTTTTCTTGTGACATCACAAGAAGCCCACTTCCCCCAGCAACAAGTGTCATTTTGCCAATAACAAAGTGAAATGAATCTTTAATCCAGAGAAGTTCAGTTTACAAAAGACTAATTTAATATGTTCAGAATTCCAACAGTGTATTTTTGCAAAGCTTAATAAACCTGGATTAAGTACATGAATGGCAAGATTTGTAACTTGATTGGGTTCTTAGGCAACATTTAAATTACACTACACATACCCTCAATGTCAAAAGCATGCTAATAATACTCTAAATGAAGATCAAACTTATATTAGAGAATCTGAATTGTGCAACATCACAGTTTTTCTGCCGTGTGACTTCCTGTGCCATCCCACCAACCAGATAAGCTAGGTTTTCTAAATTCAAAGCAATGACCACAAATGATTATTATCTCCTATGTCCAAAAGATTGTAAGAATAAGATATTGAGGCATCTGGGATTTGTGAGGATAAGTTTCTGTGAGTTTGAATTTATGAATTTAAAGAAAGTCTTATGAGAGGAGAATATGCACTTTTGTCTTGGGCTTCCTAGCTCATCATTCAGGAAATCAATCATTGTTGGCTTAGCATTCAGTGATTACTCCTGCTAGAAGTGGTTATTCCCACATACGAACATGCTCTAATTCTTCCCATCTTACAAAGAACCTGATCTTAATCCTACATTCGCCTCCATCCCATACTCCATTCTCTGACAGTCATCCCATTTTTCTGTTTCCCTTTGCAAAACAACTTCTTAGCCAAGTGCCTCACTTTCTCACCTCCCATCCTCTTTTCCCATCTCCAGCATAGCTGTCCATTCTGTACTCCGTGAAGAGTGCTCTTGTCAAGATCACCAGCTGTCTCCATACTGCCAAGTCCACTGCATTTCCTGGCCTTGTTTTAGGTACCTTCTCAAGACAAAGCGTTGACATTACCTCTTTCTTGACATAGTACTGTGTTCTCTTGGCTTTCATCGGACCCAGTCTCCTGATATCTTCCTCCCTCACTGGCTGTTCTTTCTCAGTTTCCCATGCTGCCTTTTCCTCTTACTTGGGAAACCTCAGGGCTCCCAAGGGTTTCTTTCCTATTTTCACTATCTCCTTAAATGGTTTCATCCAGTCTCACAGTTTTCAATACTGTGAATGTGCTCAAGACTCCCAAGTTTATTTCACCAGCGGGTAGACTTGTCTGGGCTCCAGATTCCTACCTGTATGCAACATCCTACTTTATACATCCATTTAGAAATCTCACGTATATCAAGGGTTTATATATATCACATATTTTGGATTGGCTTTTTTTTTCTTTATTGATTTTAGAGAGAGAGGAAGGAAGGAGAGAGAGAGACAAACATCAATGAGTGAGAATATCGATTGGCCACCTCTTGCATGCCCCTCACTAGGGACTGGGTCCACAACCTGGGCATGTTCTCTGACCGGGAATCAAACCGGTGACCTCTTGGTGCATGGGTCGATGCTTATCCACTGAGCCACACCAGCGGGGCAGGATTGGCTCATTTTTTAAATTGTACATTAATTTATTTATAATTATATTGAAAACATATAAATATAATAGATACAACTCCAGGACTAGAATATTCTTTTTTCTGTCTTTGCTCTTCAATTCCCAATTCAATTCCAAAATGCATATCTCTAACCAAACATCTCTTCTTTCGGGCTCATTTATTTAGCTGCCTAATTGATACCTCCATTTGTGTCTTGCAGGTATCTCCAACTTTAAATGCCCCTTAAATTATTTGAAGGGGTGGGTCCTTCTCACTATTTAGGTCTCATACTTCCCATAGAAGCCTTCTCTGTCTATTCTGTCTAAAGTAGGTCACCCTTATTATCTGTATCTCAGGTTTGTTCAAAAGCATATATCACAATTTTTAATTACTCAAATTTTATTTACCATTATACTTTTGGCTCCCCACTAGACTAAACTTCAAAGACACCAGGGACTGTTTTATTTCTAGATTGTCTCCAGATCTTTCACAGTGCCTGGCACATAGTAAATACTCAGTAAATATTGTTTTAATCAGTTCATCCCCTAAAAGAACTTTCCAGAAAGTCCTTTAATTTATTTACTATATTCGAAAAAATCTAAGCGTAGCACTGCATTGAATTCTCAATATTATGAGCTAGATACTGACATCACTATTTATACTTGTTTTTATCTTTTGAGGATTTTATGTTGTACTGAAGTCTTTTGGTGCTTGTAAATTTTATGGTTAAAATTAAAGGAAATAATTTTCTTTTTTTGTGTGATCAATCAGTGTTAATTAAATTTCTTTATTCCAGGATGGAAGGCTAACATTTTATCCAGGAAATCAGGTAGTGAAACTTCCTTTTATCAACTTCATGAAAGCTCATGGCACTTCCTTTCTGAATGCCTACACAAACTCTCCAATCTGTTGCCCATCACGTGCAGGTATGAACATGCTTAATATTAATGGAAGAAAGCAACCACACACTGAAAATGATTTTATAGTTTAAAAGATAATCCCCAGCCCTGGCCAGTTTGGCTCAGCAGTAGAGCATTGGCCCACGGACCAATGAGTCTCGGGTTTGATTCCAGTGAAGGGCATGTACCTCAGTTGCATCTGTCCCCAACCCTGGTCGGGGTTGTGCAGGCAGCAACCAGTCGATGTCTTTCTCTCTCCCTCTCCCTCTCCCTCTCCCTGTCCCTCCCACTCTGTCTGAAAATAAATAGAAAATATCCTTGGGTGAGGATTAAAAATATATACAGTGATACCTAGGTTCTCGAACGCCTCGGTTTTCGACCAAATCGGTATTCGACCAGGAGATTCGAGAAACTTTTGTCTCGGAATCCGAACAAATATTTGGAACTCGAACTTCCGAGATGAGCCGAGTTGAGCCGAATGGCGTTCATTCGACCCAGCGCGCCTTGCTTGCGTCATCAGTGTGAGTGCAGAGAGAGAGTCACGCTTTGTGGAGAGTCACACTTTCCTATTGGTTTCATTGCTTCGGTTCTCGAACAATTCGGTTCTCGACCGTCCTCCTGGAACGAATTATGTTCGAGAACCGAGGTATCACTGTATATATAATCCCCAAAAGTAGTATAGTAAGTCATATTTGGCATCTATTTAAAAAATGTTAAGCCCTGCCCAGTTTGCTCAGTGGTTAGAGCATCTGCCCACAGACCAAAGAGTCACGGGTTTGATTCTGGTCAAGGGCACGTACCTTGGGTGCAGTTCAGTTCCCAGCCCTGGTCGGGGTCGTGTGGGAGGCAACCAGTTGATGTCTCTCTCTCACATTGGTGTTTCTCTCTCTTTCTTCCTCCCACTTTATCTGAAGATAAATGGAAAAATATCCTCCAGTGAGGATTTAAAAATTTAAGTGATATGGTTTTTAAAGTATATGTGGGTATTGGGCTTATTAGATTTTCTAATTTATTTTTCCAGAGTAGGAATTTTGTCATTTGAAATGCTATTTAGTTCATGTGTTACTGTTTCATTTCTTTATGATTGGTGGCTAAGAATCTTTTGACCATACAAGCAAATGAGGAAATACTCATATTTCCTAAAAGAGTTCTATTTCCAAGGAATTTTTCAGTAAGAGTATAGGGAGTTGGGAGAGGACTTCAGAGTATACCTCAAAGTAGTTAAAACTTGTCACACATCAGGTTTATCTGAAGTTTTCCATGTTATTTCAGATTACACACTTTATCTCTTCAGGCTCAATTCACTTCTCCCACAAACTATCACTTTTATTATAGTAATTTAACAAATAGGTGTAGTTTAATGGCAAGATTTCAGTGACATTAAGCCATGAATAATTGAGAGACAAGAAAAAACTGCCATTCTTATAAATTCTGCCTTCTCTAACAGCGTTGCTTTCTGTGTTCAAATGTATGACTGTTTGCTTTGAACCCCGTAAACAGCACTCAGCAATTCACTTTTGTCTGTAAGTCCCCAGCATGATATTCTTTGTGATTTGAGTCACAAGTTTCTTCACCTACATTTTCAGACTATCAACTATATAATCACCAATGATTAAAGGAAACCTGAATTATATTATAAAGTATATTTCAGTGATGAAGGACCAGGTATATTAAAAAGGTTTTGTTAATCTTTCACATCTCCAGATCTTCTTTAGCTAGAAATTTTTATGTTTTCACCACTTTACCCCATCTACAAACCCTGCTTCTAGCAATCCAGGCTGTTTTATTTCTTTGCATTTGGTTCTTTTTAGATTCCACAGTATTCAGTATTTGTCTTCCTTTGTCTGGCTTACTTCACTTACTAACCACAATGCCCTCAAGCTGATTGTGTGTGTGTGTGTGTGTGTGTGTGTGTGTGTGTGTGTGTGTATTTACATCGCTTTTATTCATCTTTTAATGGACACGTAGGTTGTTTCCATGTCTTGACTATTGTAAATAATACAGTGAACATGGGGGTGCAGATATTTCTTTGAGATGACTTAATTTCCTTCACATATATACCCAGAAACCCAGAAGTGGAATTGCTGGATTATGTGATAGTTCTAGTTGTAATTTTTTGAGGAACCTTCTTAGTGGCTTCCTCAATTTTCTATAGTGGCTTCACCAATTTAGATTCCCATCACCATGCATGAGAGTTCTCCTGGGTTTCCTTTTTCCCATATCCTAGCCAACATTTGTTATCTTTTGTCTTTTGATAATAGCCGTTCTAATAAGCAAGAGATAATATCTCATTGAAGTTTTGATTTGCATTTCCATGATGACTGGTGATGTTGAGAATTTCTTCATGTACCTGTAGGCCATTTCTTTTTTTTTTTTTTATCCTCACCTGAGGACATTTTTCTATTTTTTGTTCAGGTAGAGTGGGAGGGGGAGAGAGGAAGAGAGAGAGAAACATTGATGTGAAAGGGACACATTGAGTGGCTGCCACCCGCACGACCAACCAGGGCCGGGGACAAACTGCAACCGAAGTACGTGCCCTTAGCGGGAACCGAACCCGGGTCTCTCGGGACTGTAGGCCGACGCTCTAACCGCTGAGCCAAACCGGCCAGGGCCTTGTAGGCCATTTCTAAGTCTTCTTTCGAAAAATTCACACCCTCTACTTATTTTTAATTGGATTTTTGCTATTGAATTGTACAAGGTATTTATATTTCTTTGGATATTAACCCCTTATTTTATAGATGATTTGCAAATGCTTTTTTCCAATTCATAGGTTGCCTTTTCATTTTATTAATAGTGTCCTGTGCTGAACAGAAGTTGATTAGTTTGATGTATTTCCACTTATTTCCGCTTTTTTTGCCTTTGATTTTAGTATCAAATCCAAAAACTTACTGTCAAGATCAGTGTCAAGGACCTTACCCACTATGTGTTCTAGAAGTTTCATGGTTTCAGGTTTTATGTTCATGTGTTTAATCCATTTTGAGTTGATTTTTGTGTGATGTAAGATAGGGGTTCAGTTTCTCCAACACCATTTATTAAAGAGACTATCCTTTCCCATCGTGTAATCTTGACTCCTCTGTCATCAATTAATTGACCGTATATGCATGGGTTTATTTCTGGGCTCCCTATTCTGTTTCATTGAGCTGTATGTCTGTTTTATGACAACACCATACTGTTTTGATGATTATAGCTTTTTTAAAATTACTTTTATTGATTTGTTTTTGTTACAGATGTTTCTCCTTTTTCCCCCATTGACACCCTCCTCCCCATCCCCCGCATAGCTTTTTAATATGGTTTGAAATCAAGACATCTGATGCCTCCAGTTTTGTTCGTCTTTCTCAAGATTGCTGTGGCTATTCAGGATCTTATATGGTTCCATACAAATTTTTGGATTGTTTATTCTATTTATGTGAAAAATGCTATTGGAGTTTTGATAGGTATTGCATTGAATCAGTAGATTGCTCTGGGTACTATGGACATTATAAGAATATTCATTCTTTCAGTTCATGAACACGTTATCTTTCCATTTATTTATGTCTTCTTCAATTTCTTTAATCAGTATCTTGTAGTTTTTAGTGTACATATCTTTCATCTCCATGGGTAAATTTATTCCTATGTATTTTATTCTTTTTGATGCAGTTGTAAATGGGATTGTTTTCTTAATTTCTCCTTCTGACAATTCATTTGTGCATTTTGAACCATCTTTGCTTTCCTGGGATAAATCCCAATTGATCATGCTGTGTGATCCTTTTTTTTAATGTATTGTTGAATTCAGTTTGCTAATAGTTTGTTGAGACTTTTTGCATCTGTGTTCATCAAGGATATAAGCCTGCAATTTTCCTCCTTTTCTGTGTGTGTGTGTGTGTGTGTGTGTGTTCTTATATGATTTTAGTACTAGGGTAATGCTGGCCTTGTAAAATGAGTTTAGAAGTGTTCTCTCCTCTTCTGTTTTTTTGGAAGAGTTTGAGAATGATTGGTATTAATTCTCCTTTTTTTTTTTTTTTTTTTATCCTCACCCGAGGACATTTTTCCATTTTTTGTTCAGATAGAGCGGGAGGGAGAGAGAGGAAGAGAGAGAGAGAGAGAGAGAAACATCGACGTAAAGGGACACATCGAGTGGCTGCCACCCGCAAGACCAACCAGGGCCAGGGACAAACTGCAACCGAGGTACATGCCCTTAGCGGGAACCGAACCCGGGTCTCTCTGTACCGCAGGCCGACGCTCTAACCGCTGAGCCAAACCGGCCAGGGCTTAATTCTCCTTTAAGTGTTTGGTACAATTCACCACTGAAGCCATCTGTTCCTGGACTTTTCTTTTTTAAGAGATTTTTGATTACTGATTCAGTCTCTTTACTCATAATTTGTCCGTTCAGATTTTCTATTTCTTCATGATTCAGTATTGTTTGGTTGTATGTTTCTAGGAATTTACCTATTTCTTCTAGGTTATCAAATTTCTTGACGTATAATTGTTCATTGTAGTCTCATGATCCTTTTTCTGTGGTATCAGTTGTAACATCTCCTCTTTCATTTCTAATTTTATTTGAGGAATTTCTATTTCTTGGTAAGTCTAGCTAAAGGGTTATTTTGTTTATCTTTTTTTAACTAGCTCTTAGTTTTATCAGTCTTTTCAGTCTCTGTTTCATATATTTCAATTCTGATCTTTGTTATTTCCTTTCTCTTACTAACTTTGGGTTTAGTTATTTTTTTTCTAGTTCCTAGAGATGTACAATTATTGTTTATTTTGGCTCTTTCTTTTTTCTTAATGTAGGTGTTCATCACTGTGAACTTCCTTCTTAGAACTGCTTTTTATGCATCCTATTAGTTTTGCAATGTTTTATTTCCATTTTCAATTGTCTCAAGCTATATTTTGACTTCTATTTTGATTTCTTCTTTGACCTATTGGTTGTTCAGTAGCATGTTTCTTAATTTCCACAAATTTGTGGAATTTTCTAGTTTCCTGCATTGTAGTAAGAAAGTTGCTTGATATGATGTCAGTCTTCTTAAATTTACTAAGATTTGTTGTGTAGCCTACGATTCAGTTTGCTAATAGTTTGTTATACTTGTTGTGTAACATGTGATCTATCCTGAAATGTCCCATGTGCACTTGAGAAGAATATATATTCTGTTGCTTTTGGATGGAATGGTCTTTAAATGTCTGTTAAGTCTATCTGGTATAACAGGTAGTTTAAGTCCAGTGTTTCTTTATTGATTTTCTATGTTGTTGAAAGTGGGGTATTAAAATCCCCTGGTGTTATTATTGCTGCCTACTTCTCCCTTTAGGCCTGTTAATATTTGAAGAAGGATTTACAGAATAAATAGTTTCAGAAAATGAGAAATTTAACCAATGAGTACTTAGTGGTTATTTTTATGATTAGAAGAAGACTCTAGAGTCAGACAGGCTTTTTAATTCCAGCTATATTTATCTTAAATAACTCAACCTGTAAGCCTTAGAGACTCACCTGTAAAATAAGTAACTCCTTGCAGAATGTTCCCCTTGATAAATGCGGTAATTAGAAATGTTAGGTAAAGCCCCTAATGCAGATATGTTTTATTGCAGAGTATGAGCTTTAAACTAGTAAACTCTATTCTCTCTTGGAGTAATTGTCTTAATAGTTAACACAAATTATTAAGCTTTACACTAATCCCAATTTCTTCTTTTTTCCCAGCAATGTGGAGTGGCCTCTTCACTCACTTAACAGAATCTTGGAATAACTTTAAGGGCCTAGATCCAAGTTACACAACATGGATGGATATCATGGAGAAGCACGGGTACCTAACACAAAAATTTGGAAAATTGGACTATACTTCAGGACATCATTCCATTAGGTAAAAAAATAAAACAAAATATAGTCCTAATAGGCTTCTTTCTGCTATATCACATAAATGTATTCTTTTTGACTTTTTATTTCTCTACAGAGGTAAAATTAAATCTCTTAATCCCTCTATTATGTTAATTTGGCTAAAACCTGAGCTTTCTTTAATCTTCTAAAAATATTAAATTTGTTAATATGCTGGTAATTTTGATATTAAAAGTCTATAAGAGTGTCTACAAAATTGTTTAGCCTGTGTTTATTTTTATTGAGTTTTTGCTATATAATGGCTACTTTATTATTTATAATCAGTTTTCTTGCTACTTGCTTTTGTCAGTTCATTCTAATGTGAGTCTACTGTAGCTTCTTTTTTTTTTCCATTTTAACGAGTCCTCAAAAACCAGGCAGCCAAGCTTGGTGGATCACAGCAGAGATCTAGAATCAGATGAACTACTTTTGAATCCTAGTTTCTCTATTTACTACTACCCTGTAGTAGTATAATCTTGGGAACATTATCTAAGCTAAGTAACTTTAATTTCTTTGATGAAATAATGTGTGCATAAAAGAGCTAACACAGTAGGTTTGAAAATTCTGTCCTTAGAAAGATCTGCTTTCTAAGTTGGCCCTTGGCTGACGTCTGGAACCCTGAATTTCAGGAGTGTTCCCTATATTCACTAGCTGATAAAATGACCTCCTGTGTACCTAGAGTGTTTGTACAATATGGTTTATACTAAACACCTCCTTTCACTCTGGGAATCTGGAGTTTTGGTATGTTACAGGCAGAGGGTGTCTACATAATCAGCCTCCAATAACAACTTAGGTATTGAATCTTCAATGAGCTAGCTTTCCAATTGACAAAACTTCACATATATTGTCACAGTTAGATGCTGGATGAATTAAATGTGCCCTTTGTGACTCCACTTGTCACACTTCATACCTGGCTTCCTGTGGAATTACCCCAAGCATATTTTCCCTTGCTGATTTTACTTTGTATCTTTTCATTGTAAAATAAGTCTTGGCCATGAGTAAAACTAGTTGCTGAGTCCTGTGAGTCCCCTTCATAAACTTAGGTGTGATTTTAGGGTCCCCCAACTTTTGTGACCCCTGTCACAAATATGTATTAAGATTTTAGAGCAGTACCTCTTACCTAACAGGTGCTAATTGAGGGCTGTGGAAAATATAGTAGTGATGAGGGTGACGATAATAATTATAATGAGTAAGAACAAGAGATATTAATTCAATAAAAATAATGGTGAGTATAGTGAGAGGAATAGTGTTCCCCAAGGGTTCATGTCCACCTGGAATTTCAGAAAGTGACCTTTTTTGGAAATAGATCCTTTTGCAGACTTAATTGGAGGTGAAATCGTCCTGGAATTTTAGTGAATCCTAAATCCAGTGACTACTCCTTATTAGAAGACAAAAGGACACAGACTGACAGAGAAGGCAGTGTAGAGACAGAGGCATAGATGGAAGTGATCACAGCCACAAGCCAAAGAATGCTAAAGAACAGTGGACATGGACAACAAAGCTGGGGACAGGGTGGGGAGGGAGAGGGAGGAGGGAATCAGTGGGGGGCAAGAAACATCTGTAACAAAAATAAATTAATTAATTAATTAAAAAATAAAAAACAAAGAATGCTAAAGATTGCTTCTTCCTAGCCTCTGATAACTCCTGGCAAAGAAAAATTCTTGCCTAGGGCCCTGTTTGTTAATCCTCACCCGAGGATATTTTTCCATTTATCTTCAAATAAGAGTGGAAGGGGGAGAGAGAGAAAAAAAAAAAAACATCAATGTGAAAGAGACACATACATTGGTTGCCTTCTACCTGACCCCGACCAGGGCTAGGGACCGAACTGCAACCGAGGTATGTGCCCTTGACCAGAATTGAACCCAAGACTCTTTGGTCCACTGGCCGATGCTCTAACTGCTGAACCACACTGGCCAGGACTTGCCTAGAGCCTTTAGGCAGCAATTTTCAACCAGTGTACCACAAGAATTTTAAAAACATATAATACCTATTTAGTCAGGGGCACTGACCTTTGTTCTTAGGTTATCAAATTAAAAAATGACAACAGCCATCTGGTGTGAATGAATCAAAATGATACCTATTTTTGTCAGATCAGCACAAAAAATGTATTTTTTGGTGTGCTGCAGAATTTTAGTAATTAGTTTATGTGTACCATGAGACGAAAAAGGTTAAAAATCACTGCTTTAGAGGAAGCATGGCCCTGCCAACACTTGTTTTCAGATTTCTAGCCTCCAGAACTATGAGACAGTAAACTTCTGTTGTTTTAAATTCACCCAGTTTGTATTAATTTGTTTTAGCAGACTGAGGAAACTAATAAAATGAGTTTTGGGTAAACAGACACTAAAATAATCTAGAAGAATCTGAGTAGAGCAGATCTTCCAATAATGTCCTTTTGTTCAACCCCACATTTCATTATAATGCTGATGAGATGCCCTAGGAACATAATGCTTTTTTGTATCAAGTGGCCAACGGTAAAATTGGTTTTGTTATATGTCATTTCACTAAAGGCACAGAAATGATCAGCACTGTTGAGTGAGGACTTACTGTGTTATTCTTGCTCTTCTAGTTAATATTAAATATCTTCCCTTTTCTGTCTTCCAAAATCTAAAAGATACCAAGACTGGAAACCCAGAAGTAATCCTGATTTCTCTTTCCCACCACTGTCTAGTAATCCATTGCCAAATATTGCCAGCTCTACTTCTAAGATATTTCTCCAATCTGTTCACTTATCATCTCCACCAAGTACTACCATCCCTTGCCTAAACTACTGAAATAGCCTCCTAACTTCTTTTCTTCTCACTTATTTTCAATAGGCAGCCAGAGTGGTCTTTTTACTTTTTTTTTTTTTAATCCTCACCCAAGGATACTTTTCCATTTACCTTTAGATACAGTGGGAGAGAGGGAGAGAAAAACATTGAAGTGAGAGGGACACATCGACTGGCTGCCTCCCACACGACCTGACCAGGGCCAGGGATAAACCACAACCAAGGTACATGCCCTTGACCATAATCAGACCCGCGACTCACTGGTCCATGGGCCGATGCTCCAACCACTGAGCCAAACCGGCCATGGCCAGAGTGATATTTTAAAAAATAAACATCTGATCGAATGCCTTACCTGCTTAAAATCTTTCAGTGGTTTTTATCTCGGCAGGTAGGCTAAAATCCCAAATCCACAACATTGCTTATAAAACCCTACCTAATCTAGCCCCTGCCTACCTCCAGTCTCATTTAGTACCACTCTCTTTCTCCCCCAGTATGCACTTGGTCTTTCTTTAATTCCTTTATTATGCTTTTTACTACCTCTAGACCATTGACAAGCTAGTTCTTCTGTGCAAAATGCTATTGCCCTCCTCTGCCTTGCTAACACAGTAGAAAGACAGGGCGGGAGAGGAGGTAAGTGTGGTGGGAGGAGCATAGGCCTTGAATCTGTCAAAATCTGCCCAGCTGCCTTGCCTTCCATCCTTGTGACCTTGGACAAGTTACTTTACTTCCCCAAGTGTCAGTGCTCTCGTTTGTAACTAGAATTAATGATACCCACCTTATTGGATAGCTGTCATTTTTAAATGAGTTAATAAGATTATATGCAAGAATTAAAGGAGACAATACAAAGTATTTAACAGTTCCTGGCACAAAGTAAGCATTTAATCAAAGTAAAATATTGTTGTTATAAAAATGGCTTAGCCAGAATTGTAATGTAACACCTATATAACTTTTTCTTTTTCTAAAGTTCATTGCACTGCTATTATTTCATGGAATGCTTCAAATTTCTCTTTAAAAATCCTTTTCCTTTTTTATAAAGTAAGGCTATTCCAAAGTAAAATACAACTATTCATATTATCCTATTTGAAATTCTTCCTATTTGTTTCCTCAATCAATCCAGTAAGAAAAAGAATCTGAAGTTGAACCCCTTGCACTCTCTGTTATCATCATTCTGTATGAAATGCTTAAAATATGGCCTGGATTTTATTCCTCAGTGTGATCATTCTTGGAGAGCAAGGACCCTGTCTCTTTCACTGCTTTATTCCCATGGCAGTCATGCTAGCGCATTATAGGCACGCAGTTAAATGTTTGTTGAATGAATGAATGGAATAAAAAATTATATTGCTCTACCTACAGCTTATTATTTGATAAACATTGATGTTCTATTTAACCCAGGGTCATAGCATCTGTTCATTATCAGTATTTTGTATTTAGCCTCAACTAAGAGTATATCCCGTTTTTCAGTTTAAATATCCTTAATTTTCTTTCTCATGTGGAATATTAAAATTAGAAAAAGGAAGAGCCACTTAAATGTTGATATTTTAGAGGTCAAAGATGGTTTTCAGAATAATAATTGCTTGGGGCATATTTTCATTTACTGAGCCTTCCACCAGACCTTAGGAAATTGAAATAAATGATCAGGACTGTTTGTATAGGTACTGTATGTACCCACACAGTCAAATGGCTGATAAAGGTCAAGGTTTCTGTTAACAGCATGTCTGCAAAGGTTATATGTATTGTGGCACATTATGTTTCAGATATTTCTATGCAAGTTTAAAAATAGATCTCAGGAAGAAAACATTCTCTTAATATCAACTTTCATAAATAGAGGCATTCAGTGTTTTAGATAGCCTGACTCTCAAAGTCAAAACTCAAGTTTTTATAACTCTTTGTGCTGCATTTATCAGTGAAATTGGCTATTTTTGATCCTGCTTATATTTTCAGCCAGAAATACAAGTTTTTTTTTTAGTTTATTACTACAATGCCCCACCTGTCTCTTTTAGGCATCAAGTGATGCTTCTTCTTGTACCAGCGTAGGAACACTAGTCCAGCTGTGTGTCCCTTACTGTATAACATATACTGTACCATACTGGGAGCTCTCAGGGCTATACACTGTTTCTTGTGGACAACTGTAAATCAAGTATTGGTGGAACTGTACTCATTAAGATGGCAATTACTGACTAGAAGACCTTGAACAAGTTGCTTATCTACTAAGTATGCCAATCTT